AAGTCTGTAGCCTGAGTTCCAGCTGGTCTGGATCTTCATTGTGATGACGTTCTCCTGCCTGCTGCTCCAGAGGCCAGCCTGTTCCAGAAGAAGCTGGATGAGACGACGCTGTTGCTGCGGGAGCTGCAGGAGGTCCAGAACGAGAGGCTCAGTGTCAAGCCACCCCCCAACATCATCTGCCTGCTGGCTCCCAGTGCCAGGGAGCTGCAGCTGGGTGCGTCAGCTTTTCTTCTGCCCTTCTCCTTGCTTGTGCGACTGTTTCCATGCACGTGTTCAGGCTCCCGAAGTGCAGGTTTGAGCTCTTTACAGGTCTTGCCTTGTTCTCCTCCGTGGAACGATCAAACCCACCAGTTTTGTGGTCCTTCTGTCCCCGAGCCAGTTCACTGGAGGGGGGGGCACATTGCACGGTGGCGGCCTGAGCGACCCTCCCTGACCTTTGCTGTCTGTCCATCTACAGCCGAGAGGGTGACGGGGAACCTGAAGGAGCTGGCAAGTCGGGTGACCCCAGGCGACATCACCTGTCTGTACGGGATCAGGAAAGCCATGGGCATCTCCATGCCAACTGGGCTGCTGGACGACAGTCTTACAGACCTCACCACAGGTCAGTACTCCGCCCTGCAGAGCGTGTTCAAAGAAACAGCCTGGGAAAACAACCACTTACCCACATTCCTGCTACCGATTATGCAGGAAGGTTAGCTTTTCCTTGCCATGAGTCACTGACTGCTAGGCAATGATGAATATGTCACTGCCAGCATCCACATCACTCCTGAATGGGCAGCATCACTTAAGGGCCTTATGATCACATGGTAATTCCAGTAGACATTGAGAAAGTGTATTGGAGAAAGTGAATAATGTGATGCCTTTTCAGGCTGAGAATCACAGGGCTAATTAACAGAATACACTTAATTCTAAGGCAGTCTCGAAGATCTAATCCATGCGCTAGATGACATGCACAAGTGTAACAGAATATGATCACGTCTGCTCCCCCACCCCCACTCCCCACCCCCCCATTTCCTGTGGTCTGCTCTGTTCTGTGGGTTCTGTGATAGTGGTGGTTACAGTCATTGAGAGCACAGCTATGCATTCGCTCTCCAGGCTGGCACAGAGCTACATGAGAAGCCATGAGTCTTTCAGGGGCCAAGTGCTTCCCACCACCTCTGTTATTCTTTTTGTAGATGCGTCAGAATCTGTGGTTGGCTTTACTGCCAGTCAAGAGGAGCTGTCAGTAGGAGCTGTGTAAACCAGCCCAGTAACCAGTTACACTAAGGGACAGATGTCTTTTCCAAGCCTGGAACATTTCATTTGAGTTGCTGTATAGAGGATGTTTTTGCTCGACGTTTGTATGCTTTTCTACACAATAAATTTCTTAGAATAGCCGTTGTACTGTGTATATATATATTTTTTTAGAAATTAAGATACTATAGTTTTTGAACCATTAAATGAGAGGAAAAAAAGTTGGTTTTGGTCCATGTTCATTTAATGGATGCACGGAAGATTGTCTGGTTAGGAGGTGGGTTCAAACTTTCATTCTTCTCTGAAAAAAAATCACAATCAACCCAGACACGCACACAAGAAACACAAAACTGACCTCTAAGTTCCTATTATAAAATGAAAATAGCAAAACTGAACAGCAGATTCACAAAGCGCTGTCAAAGTAACCAGGCTGGTTTTGCACACTGCTAGACTTCCGGTGAAATGTTTCCCTTTTTGTGGGGAGGTTTTGCAGGCCCAGGTCCTGAGCCTGGTGCATACTGCACTGCACTGGCTAATGCCTTTCCTGTGAGAGGGGAAAAAAATAAACACCCTCCTGTAGAAAGTGTTGTGAAAATCCTTTATTCCACCCATGGAAAAAATGCCAAATTCCACACCTGCATTTGTTCCTCATTGCCTGAGCTGAAGCAGCAATAACAGAAATGATCACAGGAGGGGGAGAGTCTTCCTCATTGGGGTATCTCACGGCAGTAACAGCAGCAGTGCTTCATATTTCATTACATTTCAGAGGCACACAGAAAAATCAGACTTCCCAGGGGCAGTACAGCTCAGTCTTGCAGCAGTGTGTAAAATCGCCATCGTCCATCCTTTTCAGTATAAACATTTTTTTTTAAATCACTTTGTTGCTTGACAAAGGCGCAGAAGAAAGTGTTCAGAAATAGCTTCTGTGCAGTAGGCAGTGTACCACAGCAGTAGAGAATGGCACATGTTCATAATGACCTGTAAGATGCAGCTGCACAGAACAGCGAATGCAGCCACAGTGGCGCTCCTGTCCAGTTTAAGGACACAGAATGGCAGTTTTATTAATTTGTAAGATCAAAACTAGGAAACCGTGTATTTCACAGTGCCCATTCACATTCTGTAAGCAAGAAAATATCTTGAGATTTTTGCAAGCTTTTGCTTTCCAGATTGATTGTATGGCAGTTTTGGACGCACTAGAGGTTACTTTGTTTTGGGTCAGGAACCAAAACTGCAGTATTGGTCAGAACTTCCTAGCTGTCTAAAATTAAAAACCTTTGTTACACATAATGAAGCATTTTGTTGCGACACCTAAAATGGAGCATTAGCTGTTAATAAGACAACAGGGTATCAGCAGTGGCTGTTTGAGAATATTTGGCTCAAGTCAAGTCTTTTCTCAACGCTAACCAACATGCCTCAAGAAGGACAAGGAAAAGTAACATACTTGCAACTGTTGACCTGTGAACTTAAATTAAAACCTCCACCCAAGAAGGTCT